AAGAACCTGACCTTTGTAGCAAAGGATGCCCAGAAGGAAAAAGAAGAGGGAAAAGTCAATAAAAGGGAAGGCTTCCAGCATTATCCAGGTTCAGTGGATCCCAACCAGCTCCAAAGGGTCTTTAAGGCAGTATGGCATAGGAAATAGCTCTAGACTGAGAGTTAGGAGACTTATGTTCTGTGCTAGATCCAGCTCTTCCATGGCCCATTGGATGAGCAAGTCATTTAAAACCTGTTTTTATAATTATAATACATAAAATGACAATGTAGGAATAGGTGGCCTTTGAGATTCTTTATGGCTACAACAGTGTAGGATTCTGCACATAAAATCATTATAATACTTTCAGCAGAACCACGCACTCATTAGGCATACTATATGGGCTTGGTAATGATGACATACATATCTATAGATCACTGAGTAGTAAGAGGAGAAAGCTCAAAACTGACTGTAGGGAGGGAGAAAAAAAATTGCTGCTTTTCTTTGTGGTGGAAAGGGTATTTGTTTTTCTAAATGCTGATTTAATAAGCCATGAATGGGAGTTGATAGTGTCTGTAGAGGGTGGGGTTCAGGGCTGGAGTTCCCCTGCTAAAACTAAATAAAGGATTGATAATAAGCAGACTGCAAACACTGTCTATTAAAAAAGTGACTCATTAACAGAAAAAAAAAATAGGCCAGTTCTGAAGCCTAGAAATATAGTAGAGCTCTTTAACTCCAGAAAATCCCCAAACAAACACCCTCAGATTGACACATACAGGCTTAACCTGCTTCTTAACACTGAGGCTTTTTGTTTTTCTTTTTCTAGGACAAGATGACATTTTTCCTGACCTTTGCCTCAAAAGAACTGTTACGGACAAGTTATGCCAACTGTTATGCCATGCAATAACAGGATTCTACAGATGAGAAAACTGAAAAAGGCTTGCCTGAAATCACTCCAAAAAGTGATGATTCTGGGGAAAAAAACCAAACACAGAAACTTTTGATTCCCTGTGCACTGGGTTTTTGCCTCCTTAGTGTCTCTACTTAAGTCATTTGTATGCTTCCCCACCCATTAGAAAGATACTGAGTCATAAGCCGGCACATAGGGAGATGATGACAAGAATTTCAGAACAGCTGCAGGCCTATGGAAAACTAAAAGGGATTTTAAGCAACCAAACAATCCTAACTTCTCCCCAACGGAAGGTAGCTCCTCCTGTGTGCATGTGTGTGGGGTGGAGTGGGATGGTGGAGGAAGGCTGAAGAGCTCAGGCCAGTGGACCTAGAGTCACAAAAGAAGATTCTTATTAACACAATGGCTCACACTATGGGAAGAGGCAGACTTGAGTGCATGTGGGCCTGAGACTAGAGTAAAACGAGAGTTTCACTTGGCTACTGGCCTTCCCATCCTCCTAACCCAGAGCCCTTGCAACCTGGAGTGGCAAGAGCTCAAGGCCAGGGGGGAATGTCCCTCTCTGGTGACCCCATCTGTTCTTTGCTAATGGTGGAGCTAGTCAGACTGTCACCCCCTTCACAAGTCTTAGCCATCCAGCATGCCACTTTGGAAAGGAATCGGTTCCTGTCTTGTGAAGAACACAAGAAAACACAGGCTTTTAGAATCAAGGAATGAATGAATAAATAAATATTTATTAAACACATAATATGTGCCAAGCTCTGAGGATGCAAAGAAAAAAAGTGAGACAATGCCTGCTCTCAAGGAGTTTATATTCTAATAGGGAGAGACAACATATATAAAGGAGAAGAAAATTAATATGACCACCCCAGGACAGCCTACATTGTTAGAGAAAGGGATACAAAGGAAGATAGACCAAAGACCATTTTGCCAAAGCTCTACCTCCCATAGCATTATGTAAAGAATGCAAATCAAACAGGAAAGGAGTTCTCTAAAGTTTTATATTTTTCAACAGTCTGAAATTGAAAACCATGGGTCTAAAAAGGGAAAGCATTGACCTTTCTGCTAACATAAACTGTGATGAGAATTGAACACTTACACCTTCTAGCAAGTGTTTCTGTTTCAAACTCCTTGTCTGCTCCACGCCGGCTCTGGTCCCTGAAATCTATTTTTAAGGTGCAAACAAAATAGCACTAAGAAAGAAAAGATCCATTTAATTACTGGGACACCTTTCCACTGTTAGCATTAGCCACGGATTCCCTTGAGACCAGGGCTTCTTGCCCTTTTGTGGGCCATGGATGCCTTGGGCAGTCTGGTGACTTCTCAGAGTCATGTTTTTAAATGCAAATGAAACTGATTACATTATAATACAATATTTTAAAAAAAAAAATTAATTAAATTAAAAACAAAAATTTTTCTTCATCCAAGTGCATGAACTCCAGGTTAAGCATCATCATCCCTGCTTATTAGTTTCTATATATTCAGGTGAGGGAGACAGACAGGAAGAGCACTGAGTTCAGCCACCTCACCTTCAACGAGGGCTATATCTAACTGACCTAGGCAGTATTAAACATGAAGATGATCACAATCATTCACATATAGATGTACCTCCTAATTCTACTGATGAGATTTTGAAAAGTCACTCTTTTTACACCATTGTTATAAGAATTATATTATAAATATACTTCCCTGTTCTACTCTGATGCATCTTCCTGACAGAGGTGAGCATGGTTTTCTCAAAACCTATACCAGCAGAGTATAAACTCTGGATGGTCTCAAGTCAGAAAGACTTTGATTATAGGCCCAGTGAGACACTCGCATTTGTGAGTGTGTGAGTGTGTGAGTGTGTGTGTGTGTGTGTGTGTGTGTGTGTGTGTGTGTGCGCTGTTTATATATGAATCCAGGCTGCTACTTTCTACCTGAAAGTAGCTGCCTTTTCATTCATTTCATTTCATACGCCCAAGCAATATGAGAACCAGCTTAAGCTTAAAGAGACTCATCACCAGAAGGCTTGCCATGAGCTAATGATTATTTTGGGGGCCACTGCAATTTATGAAAATGATGTACCAAGTTACAGAAGAGCCAGAATGATATAGTGCTGGCTAGAAAGTCACTCTCAGAGTCATGGAAGAACTACATTCGATCTTTCCTCTGTTGGGTACTGGCTGTGTGACTTCAGTCACTTAAGCCTCAGTGCCCTTACCAACTCTCTAAGACTAAGCAAGTTCCTCTCTTTATTAGTAAGAGTTCCTTCTACCAATTGAAATCACATGAGCAGTTCCTGCCTCCACTCCCCCCAAAAAAGGAACACATTGATTGTGATCAGAGCTGGTGAAGGTAGTACAGGCATTCGTGAAATAATAGCTCCTTTCAATTACTGAAATCTTCATTAATGGAGACTGATATTTAAAGAAACCTCACAGTAAACTTTCTTGCCACCCACTTCACCTTTAACAAAGTATTTTATTATAATGTGAATAGTCATTTCTGAATGTATCCATTTTTAAGTTCAGATTTTTATACATTGGCTTTTCTCAAAGCAGGCTATGTTTGAATTTAGTGCTAAGTTAGGAAACTCCTAATCTCTATGATGCATCCCTGCTGCTGTCAGTATGTTCAGATATTTCTTCTTTGTTAAATTGTTCTGTCCCTAAATACTGTCCTCCGGGGTCATGATGATCTCATTTTTGTAATGTTATTTCCCATAACTTAATTCATATTTTGACTTGTTTGACTGAAACTATTACGGATTATTTTTGCACTAATAATTTCTTAAGTCCTTCCCCCCTTCACTGTCTGTTGAATTACTTCACATTCTTTAAGATCTGGTTCATAGGGGGCAGCTAGGTGGCACAGTGGATAGGGGCACCGGCCCTGAAGTCAGAGGACCTGAGTTCAAATCTAGCCTCAGACCAAACACCTGACACTAGCTGTATGACCCTGGGCAAGTCACTTAACCCCAATTGCCTAAAAATAAGAAAAAAAAATTTTAAAAAAGATCTAGTTCATATTCACTGTTCTCTATAAAACCATCTTTGATCCCCATTCTCAGTAATGATTCTCTCCCAACTACTACCCCAAAATGAAATACTACTTTTTCTGGCACCTCTATGATGTGCTTATCATTTAATATTACTGTTACCATTTTGTATTTTATCACCCTGTGAGAGTGCCTTGCTTGAGGGCAGGGATTGTGTCTTAGCTGAACAGGGGTGGAGAATCTGCAGGCCTCGAGACCACATGTGGCCCTCTAGATCCTCAAGTGCAGTTCTTTGACTGAATCCAAATCCTCTGATTTTGGATATCATCTAACTGAAACAATGCACTGCATAAGGTAGGCATTGAATAAATGTTTGGGGAAATGAAATAAATGAGACATTGAAAATTCTTCTTTTAGTTAAATACCTCATGAATCTATATTCCAAGATCCTACTATATTCACATTAAGCATTTACAGTATATATTTTTTTCTTTTTCAGAAGTGATAGAACAAAATTTCTTTCAAAATTAAGTGGTTTCTGCTCTGTTTCAGTTGTTTCAAGCTTTAAATTGGCTACCTTTCAGAAAGAGATAGTAGAGATGACTGATAACCATCTTCCTCATTCAGCTTCAAAGGAACACTGGGTTTGAAATCTGGAAAATGTCTTAGAAATGGTATAGTTCAACCCCTTATTAATTAATTAATTTGCATATTCATTCATTCATTTATTTTGCGGATGAAGAAATTGAGGTCTAAAGAGGTTAATATCAGGGTCACACAGGTAGTAAGCAAAAGAGCTGAGATTCGCACACAGGTCTTCTGACTCTAAGTCCAGCATTCTTTCTATTATGTCATTATTTTCCTAGGCAGATTCTTTTGGCATCATGATGTGACTCACAGCATCTGGTGCCTTCTGGTATCAAAGGAAGAGAAAGAGTTGGAGAGGTCTGATAGCTCTTCGTGCTATGAAATTTGGCACTGGTTTACTAAGGAGATGAAGGGATGGTTAATAGTAGTGAGCAATCTATAATAGGAATATCTGAGCTATAATTCTGGATTGGTTACTGCCTTTATGGCATCAGGTTTTCATGTCCCATGTTCCAAATGTAAATAGCGGGAAAGGAAAGTACTCACCTTTTTACTTAAATGGGAACCATTGGTCCCACCAATGCTTCTCTGTACTGATGGTGGCACCTGGTATACATCTTGCTCTATAGTACTATGGCCTGTAGGTACTTGGTAAATTCCCTGATTCTGATAGGATGGTGGTACTTGGTAGACAGCATCCCGAGATGAAGCCTGTGAGTGTGGCACTTGATAGACTTTCTGTGGGCCAAAACTCTGGTGCATTAGTCCAGAAGAGGGCTGGTCCTGATTGGAGGAACTCTCCTGTAGTGGACCAATCAGAAGCTTCACCCGGTTGCCTGGTACAATGCCTTGCCTTCCATGTAAAGAGCAGAGCCACCATCCTTCCAGCCCACCAGTATTTTGCTCAATCACAGTCAGTATATCTCCTTTGCGGAATGCCAACTCTTCTGCACACTCAGGAACATTATCATACAAGGCTCTTGCCATAAGATTCTATGTAGAAGGAAGGAAAGGAGGCAAAAACAAAAATAAATATATGTTAGAACATAGCCTTAATCCCTTTAACACTTGAAGCTCATTCACTTGTGGAAGGGAAGCCTTCCTAGAAAGGAGAGTTTGAACAGTAGATAATAAACAGTCACACAAAGAGAGATTGTTCCCATAATTGACATTAGCCTACCTCCTTTCCAAGTCTCAGAAAGCTGGACGATTCTTGGACTAGTAGGTTATTCCTACTAATACTACCAATACCATAAAGACCTATGATTTCATTCGTATGGGTTCTCCCTTCAGTAACACCAATCACAATCCTATTATCTCTTCGCTGAAAGTCATTGCTGAGCCTGTAATCAGAGACTTGTCTAAGGTGGTAGGTAGGTAGGGCCTGCTAGAGCTTGCACTCAGCTGACAGTTCTTTGAGATCCCAAGGTTACCTTTATACCAGAATGAGGCAATGGATGATGGTAGTGAAAGATGGTAGACTATACCACAAAATGCTTTCTTCTTTCTTAAAGTCAGTCAGGAAAAAGAGCCTTAGATTGTTCTTGGACACACTGCATTGCCAATTCTTAGGGGGCAGAAGTGGCATGGATAATCCAAATCAAAAGATAATGCAAATATAATTTCTATTTGGTGTTGGAATGCAGTTATCCATATATAAATATTCAAATGTCTCACCACCCTGAGCTCTTGGCTTTCTTATTCATCATTACTGAATACAACATGAGTTGTAAAAGGAGTTTAAAGGATAGTGAAGTGATTGTGTTTTTTGTGAAGATTTCATTTGGTATAGTGACTCTGATAGGAAGTTTCAGTCTCTTCCTTCCAATAGTTAAAGGCTACATAAGGAGAAAATTATGAAGAATCCTATTCTTGTTTGAGAAGAGTCCTGAGAGTATCAGAGTATCAATAATTATACCCATAGGTAATCAAGAATTAAGTATTGTGTGGCTATACAAATAACAACAACAACAACCAGCATTCTTACAGCACTTTAAGTTCTGCAAAGCATTTTACAACCACTCTGGGAGGTAGGTGCTATTATTATCTTCATTTTGGATGAGGAAGAAACTGAGGTAGATAGAGGTTAAGTGATTTGCCCAGGGCCACATAATTAGTAAGGGTCCAAAGTTGCATTTGAACTTGTCTGACTCTGGGACCAGCACTCTATCTACAACTTGGCCTAGCTGCCTAATCCGCACCAGGTTGTGGAGAAGTCATTTAATATAACATGGGATAACAGATGGAGAATTGGAAGAGGCCTCAGAGACCATAATATCCAGTCTCCTCATTCTACAGATAAAGCTTTAAGCAGGCACAGAAAAACTAAGTCACTTGCTCAAATGGCAGAGTAGTAAAGAGTACAGCTAGAATTTGGACCTAGGCCCTTTGACTCCAAATCCAATATTCTTTTCACCATATTATTTTTCAGGGAACATGATTTTTCTTCCCAATTCCTGCTCATACCTATCCTACTAGAATGAAGTAATCCTGCTTTTTTTTTTTTTTGTCTATGACTTGAATCTCTCCATTGATGCTTGGAAGACTGTGGCTTCTCCTTTCATTGAACCAATAAACACTTGCTCTCTCTCTGTATGATGGCCTGTCTGGCACATTCAGTACAGACAGCCACGGCATTCAACAGAAAGGAGGCAGGAACTTTGTGCTGACATTCTTGGAACCCTTTCAAAGGCTCCAAACATTTCATTTCTTGGCTCTAGTGATGTTTCCCAGCATGCTGGCAGCCATTACCACATGCCTGCCTACTTCCCAATGCACAAGGAAGGCAGGGTCAGCCATATATTTACCGCATGCACTTGAAAATGAAAAGTAGTATCATTGTAATGATGATTATTTATTGGGGAAAGGGCTGTTGATTTGCTAGAGAGAGTGAATTGATTTTTCCCTTCCCAATTACAGAAGTGTAGAATGTAAGCTTGTCAAGGGCAGAAATTAGTTTTAGTTTTGTACAGAATATGCTTTTAATAAATACTGGAAGCTATCCATGATTAGTGAGTTTTCTGGCTGCTGTTGCTGTTCATATCTATACCTCTTAGATTGATATGTGTAGCTAAATGGGACTTCAACAATCATGTAATCCAGCTCCCCCTTCCTCTTACCCTTTCTATTTATTTTTATTTTTTTTAAATTCATTTTGAACTTAGTACATAGAGATACCCTTCTTAGATAAAGTTTAAGTAACTTGCCCAAAGGTCATACAGATAGTAAAATTAAGTTGCAGAGTCAGGCCATTTGACTCTAAATCTGGCACTCTTTTCACTGTAATTCCCCATGTAAAATTTTAATATAACATCCCATAATTTTTATCCTTTTGAAGTTGTCCTACCCTAACCATTTTTTTTTCTTTTTCCTTTGGTCAAGTCACAAAAGTGGAAGCATTCTTAATGTTCCATGCTGATTCTGATCTGGTTCCATGCTGATTCTGATCTGTAGTGTCAGTAGTACCTAAGTGAGGGGGGCTCCTCTCCAAGTGGTATGGAGAGATGATTACCATGGAAAGCCCAAGTCCTGATGCCATGGTTGCTAATCCAGCTCCTCCTAATCAGTAGAGTTATCTGGACATGGGGGAAAAAAAGAATTAGATCCTCAGGCACCCTGGTAGTGGCCAAGAATGAGGCAGAATGGTTCTGGTTAAGAGAATTCAGATAAGCCTCTTAGGTCATCCACTACTCCTACTCCTATTCCTACTCCTACTCCTACAACTATTACTACCACCTATTATAAGACTTTATGCTTTACAAAACTGTTTATATATACTATTTAATTTGAAGTAGGCAGTATTTTTATCCCCATTTAATAGATTAGGAGATTGTGGTAGACACAGGTTAAGTGACCTGTCCCTGGTCACAAAGCTAATAAACATCTGAAGTAGAGTTTGAACTTAGGTCATCCTCACTCCAAGTCCATCTATCTATTATGCCACATACCTGCCCCAAAATGAACTATAAAAGGAGTTTTAAAGGATAGTGAAGTGATTGTGTTTTATGTGAAGACTTCATTTAGTTTATACAGTGACTCTGATAGGAAGTTTCAGCCTCTTCCTTCCAGTAGTTAAAAGCTACATAAGGAGAAAATTATGGAGAATCCTATCCTTGTTTAAGGAGAGTCCTGAGAGTATCAGAGCACCCACCTCCCCTTCTTTTTCCTCCCTCCCTCAGCTTCTTGTATATACTGTGATGGGTCTGCAAAAAGGAATTGCTTATAATTAATTACTCAAGATGAAACTGTGGTCCTTTGATTTCATAGTATGCAGCCTTAAGAGCTCCACCTTGCATACACAGGAGTCTGTTTCTATTCTCCTCTACTTCAACAATTGTGAATGGTCAGTAAGGAAGCACCAGAGATGGAATCACAAGTAATGGAACCCCTTTCTTCCAGGGCTGAGGGATTAGAGCTGGGCAATCCTATTGGCTCTAAAGGAGAGAAACTCAAGACAGTAGGAAGGCCAGAGAGAACGGCACAGTTCAGAATAAATAAATGAAATGCGTTTTAGAGTTGGGTCTATTCAATGGAACAACGCACAGAACTGAATGAAGCACTGAACCACGAGTGATTAGAAGCAGATAGAAATTCCCATGTGAGAGTCATTCTTGGTGGTTTATTGTCTCTGTCCCAGTAACCTTCTCACCACCTGGTAAATAGCATGCGAATGCTTGCTTCCTGGACCTGCCTCAAATGCAGCTTCATTGCAAAATACTTTCCCATTCCCATTGTCAATGCTAACTGAGGCACCATCGGGTGAGTTATCCTAATTGGCTGTCCATTATTTCACAGCAGTCTTCCCCACTGCCTGCAGAGATTAGTATTTAGAAAGTGATGTCTGATGGGATAGTTAGCACCAGGGACTTCAGCAACAGCAGGACACCTATTCACACACTGATGAATATTCTCAGTTAAGAAAGAACAGAAATGCCATGGTATAATGCTTATGGCCATCACTGAATGTTACTAAGGAAAAGCCAGGTACTGTTCAATGGTAAATGTACAATGGCCTGCATATAATAAGCACCAAATAAATGCTTTATTTAGGGGCATGTAGGTGGTGTAGTGGATAGAGTGCTGGGCCTGGAGTCAGGAAGACATGAAATTCAAATCCCTCTTCAGATACTTATTAGTTGTGTGACCCTGTACAAGTCACTTAACCTCTGTTTGCCTCAGTTTCCTCAACTGTAAAATGTGAATGTAAAAAACTGTAAAATGTACCTTACTCCCAGTGTTGTTGTAAGAATCAAATGACATATAATTGTAAAGTGCTTAGCATAGTGCCTCGCATGTATTTAGTTCTATATATCTATCAGCCACTTTTGCTAATATATACTATCCTGTATATTTTTATTATTATTGGTGACCACAATGGTTGCTATGGTCCAGGGGTGGGGAACCTGTGGCCTTGAGACCACGTATGGCCCTCGAGGTCCTCAAGTGTGACCCTTTGACTAAACCCAAACTTCACAGAACAAATCCCCTTAATAAAAGGATTTGTTCTGTAAAACTTGGACTCAGTTAAAGGGCTACATCTGAGGATCTAGGGAGCCACATGTGGCTTTGAGGCCGCAGGTTCCCCACCCTGCTCTAGTCCAAATATACTTGAACATCCCAGAGGTCATGGGATCACAGATTTAAGGCCAGAAGAAATCTCAGAGATCAAGTCCAACCCCATCATTTTACAGATGGGGAAACTGAGGCTCAGTGAGGCTAAATAATTTGCCCAAGGTCACACAGATAGCAAGTAGAAGAGTTGGCCACTTGAACCCATCTGTTGTGGCACAAGAGAAGGCAGCACAGGCTAGAGTGTTCAGGGAAGGCCTCCAAGGATGAGTCCAGAAATTGACCAAAGACAAGGACATTGAAATGTCCAAGGCTGCTTAAGCCACTTCCTGGAAGGCAGAGAGCAGGAAGGGATGAATCTGATTAAACCAAACCTAAAAGCCAAACCACTTAAGATCTCCCACTGAAAGGGACCCTTCGTCCAT